CCTTGCCCTGGGTGGGGACCTCCCAGCTGCCCCTGTCTCTGCGCCTCTCTGAGATGGCCGTGAAAGCCTGAAGAGGGAGCAGGCTCGCTGCGGGTCACGGTGCCCCCTCTCCTCCCCTCTGCAGGGCTGCACCCTGCGCTGCTTGATCGAAGGCTTTCCCCAGCCAAGAGACAGGGACTGGTTTGGGGATGGGTTTGCACAGGGTAGCCCTGTGGAGCCTGCCCCCTCCGCGGAAAGCAGATCCTGTAATGCACAGCGCTGTCTCCACGGGCTTTGGATGCAAAGGGCTGGGCGGGCAGGGAGGAGAGAGAATTCCAGCCTGTCAGTTATTTTCCTTTTCCCTGTCCACAGTAATCAGGACGATTACCAACTGGTTCGGAAGCTCGGCCGGGGAAAATACAGTGAAGTCTTTGAGGCCATAAACATTACCAACAACGAGAGAGTGGTGGTGAAAATCCTCAAGGTGAGCGTCCAGTTGACGATCAGTAGCCCTCTTCATGATGGGAAAGGGGCATTTTACTAGGTTTGTTGAGGGGGATGGGGCAATTTTAGGTCTCGTTCAGTGTCTCCTAAACTGGGTTTCAGCCCTGCCCTCTCTGATGTTGGGGTGCTGGATTACATCTCCGGAAATACATTTTTGGCTCGTGTCCTGTAGTGATGCTGTGCTGGTCCTTTCTCTCTTCAAGTCCTGGGTCAAGGGGTGCTTGTCGGATTGAGACTGAGCGTGCTTTGGGACAGGAAAGCCATGTGTCTTGATATCTGAATGGTCTGGATGTGCTGTCTGCACTTAGTACATAATATCTGGCAATGTTTGTCTCCAATGGCTTGCAAACTGTCCTGTCAACAGTAATATGAACCCGTGCGGGGGAATCCTTCCATTAACCTTTACATGATTGGCTGTAACTGTGTCAGAGCCAGGCTGGTAAGTTTTTGGGAAAGCAAACTAAATCTTGGCCTTGGTACGTAAGAAAGTACAATGGAAGGCAAATTCCTCAGTATTTAAAATGAGTCATAGCCATGATTGAAAATCAAGGTAAAGGAGGTGGCTTGTTTTCCATTGCTCACTAGTTGGTGTGTTCTGATCGCAACCTCATGAGAGTGGCACATTAAGGACCCAAGTACAAAGGAAGCTATTAAAATCCGAATGCTTTGGGTCAGCCAAGTGCTCTGTCCTGCACAGTTTCTTGTTATCACTGCTGCCTGGGAGCACTGGAAGCAGCACACTCAGCCTGTGACAGGAGTGAGAACTCTGGTGTTTAGTCGCAGACTGTTCAGCTGATTGAGGAAGGGGCGAGAAAGAAAGGGTTGTTGAATGGTCACAAAGCCAAAGCATTCTGTTGGCTGGCAGCTGTGGTTCTTGTCCACCATCGTCATCTTGCTTTTCCCCCTATACTACAGAAGCCTGCTTCCAACCCTACAAATGCTCAGAACATGGACATGCATCAATCCTCACAGCTACAGTTGAGAGAGGGTGTACTTAGGAAATAACCCGTCAGCTGCCGTGGCGAGTTGCTAGCTGCCATGTACGCATGCCTGGCCCTTTTCAGCAGGGCAGCATGCATCTGTCAGACTGCGAATTGGCTACTCGGTCTGACAAAATCCCCCTTCGTGGACCAGGGTGCTCTGATTGCATGGCTGGCCAGCTAGCATTGGCGCTTCTCCTTGCCTTTCTCCTTCGGGACCAGGTTGTCTGTTCATCCTGGGCCTCTGATTGCTGTGCCCCATCTCCCCAGGTGGCTTGTTCTGCCATGGATCTCGTTTTGCTGAGCAGTAGTCACTGGGCAGGGCGTGACTTCTCAATTGCTTCTGAGAAGAGTTAGGAATATCAGCATCTTACCTGGGCTTCGGAATGAAGGTGGCAAAGTGATGTGCATCTTCGGTAAAATCCTCACCCCAAAGAGATGGCTGGTTGGGCTAGGGATGTGAAGGACTAGTGATGTGACCCCGGGTGGCACTGCCGCTTTGAAATGCCGTGAGGAGCCTGATGCCGGGCTCCCTGCGGCATTCAAAGCGGCAGCGCAGCGTGGACCTGGATCAGCTGGGGACTCCTTCACTGACCTGGGCTCCGTGTGGCACTGCTGCTGGGGTGTTCCCAGCTGACCCCGGGCTTTGGCCTTTGAAGGCGGAGGCACCCTGTTTGACTAGCGATGCAAAAATGCATTGACTACTCGATGAGTCAGTTACCCGATATTTAACATCCTTAGGTTGGACTGTGTATTCCCAGGTAGAAGGGAGGCTTGCATGGTTTGTTGGCTTACTGTGTAGGCCCATGTCTCCTTTTGAACGCTGCTGCCGGGACCTAAGCACTTGTTTGTCTTGCACTCTGGGAGCCGAAGACTCAGCATTAAAGAGAGACTGTCAGCAGGTAGCCAAGAGCGTAACTATTATATGGAGAGCTGGCTCTTGGCTAAGCACAGGAAACCATCCACTTCTGTTTACCACTAGTCTAGGAAATCCGCCGTAGGGCTTTGGTGAACCTCAGGTGTCTGGTCGAGTGCAAGGAGACCCCATGTATCCCATTTGCAAATAGATGCCAGAGCGCCACTGCTTCTGGGAAAGAGGTCTTCTGAGCTGCATTAGAATGCTGTCTTCTCCCTGTTTAGACTGGATCCATGTCCGTTTTGGGGAGCCCTATCAGCACCCCTTGTGAGTCAGCTGGAGAGAGCCATTTGAGCAAGTCAAGGCATTCCTTTTTCCTAGGGGCAGAGTGCGCTGCTACAGCAGTGCCCCTAGTGCCTACCGGCCCTGGGGGAGAGTTTGAGCTGTCTCGTACTCAACGTAGTGTGCTGCCCTCAGGCCGGCGTGGGCCGCTTCAGCCCAGAAGCAGCCTTCCCGTGTTACGTGGCGCAAGTGGATAGTACAGGACGATCACAATGAGCTTTTTGTCGAAGTGGAAACTGGATCGGGAAAAGGCAACTTTCAGATTGGCGCCTTGTGTGTGATGCAGAATTACAGCATCTGTCACGGGGGTTATTTAGTTTCCTGTCGCATCATCTGTAATAATTAAGCCTATTCGTGGACATAAATAGGAAGCCTCTTTCTGGCCCTCTGAATTCAGCCGCTAGTCTGCGAAAGGAAAACTTAAACCAGAATTTAGCAAGTTGTCTGGGTCAGGGTTCCCTCTAAGTTGTGTGCGTGCAAAAAAATGTCCACTCCTCGCACCTCCTACGCTGGGGTGCACAGCTGGCAGGCAGTAGGAGGCTGCAGCGGCGGCCGCAATCAGAGGAGTCATGATCTATGTGCTGGGAGGCTGTGGCAGCAGCTGGTGCCTCAGGAGGCCTGGGCTGCGGGGTGGGAGAACGGCAAAGCAGGTACTAGGGTCATACCAGAGGGGCCAAGGACAGCAGGGACCAGCACAGAAGGTGGCCGGGTGGGGGACAAAAGCACCTGCTATCTGTGGTGGTGAGAGGTCCTGGGCATAGGTAAATTTGGGGGGGAGGGGAGGTAAGGTAAGGTGCAGGGTCAGACACAGGTGTCTGGGCAATGGGGTGGGGGGAACAGGTGATTTGTGGAACTGGGTGCAGGTCTATGGGCAGTGGCGTTCAGGCTGTGAGCCCTAGGCCCAGATACTGGCTGTTAGTGTTTGAGGGGCAGATAGCGTGGCCCTGGCTTACAAACTGATGGCCTGTGCGAGGCGGATTGCAAGGCTGGACACAACTACAGGGTGTGTGGTGGGGGTAGGCTGTTAGCCAGGCCTATACAGGCCGCAGCTGGCTATGTGTAGTCCCAATGGGGGAGCACTGTGTTGGGGGAAGCGGCCAGCAAGGAGGATGGTTTTCAGGGTGGGTGGGAGCAGGGTCATGCACCTTGGTAATTATCCCTGGTTTTAGTATTTTTTTTTTTCTTGCATCACAATCTTAAAGTTTGTGTGTGTGTGTGTGTGTGTGTAATTGTGTTAGTAACTGGTGGGTGCCACAGTGGCACGCATCCAAACTGGCACACATGACCTCAATATTGGTACTCAAGATAAAACTCACTCTGCTCACGGACGGAAAACCTTAGAGGGAACGCTACTAAAAAAAAAAATCCCTTGCTGCTCGATAAACCTGTTTAGCATCTTCCTTTTTTGTACCATTTCCTGGAGTGTAGAGCTTTGGGTCCGTGCTCTCTAACGACATCGTCGCCTCATTTTTTTTCTCTAGGACCCATGCCTCATTCAGTGGGAAGGGGACACAGTGCTATTGAACTAGACAGGTGTTTGATATTTGTACCCTCCCTAGTCAATATCTGCATCCCAGCAGGCTGCACTGAATAAAGGATGTGTTGTTGTTGTTGTTGGCTTTTCTGTGGCTCTCATCACCAGTATGTCTGAGTGTTTGACCTCACTCCTGTGATATCAGGAAGCTTTATCATGGTTTCTCAGATATAAAACTGAGCCACAGAGAGGGCGGGGGTGGAGGAGACTTGACAGAAGTTGCACAGGAAGTCTGTGAAGGAGGAAAGAATACAACCTAAATTTCCTAGGTCCACGTCCTCTATCATAACTGTATACCATTCTTCTCCCCTATGCCTTGTGTCATTGATTACAATCCATATAGCTTTTACGAGGGCAGGATGCTGCAGACTCTGGTTTCATTTCGGGACCTATCATACAGATTGCTCTGGATGTGTGCCATTTTGCTGCCAATCCTTGCCTCATTCACTGTCCATCCCGTACTCTACGTGAGGCATGGTCTTACACTCCTCCTTTTTCCTGCGTCATGGGAGATTGTCACCAGGCATCTGCATGAGATTGTGTAATCAGCCTTAACTTTGTGACTTCCTGACTTTTGAGTGCTTCGCTTGCCAACCTGAGAGCTCTTTTCATGTAACATTTTTGTATGACACTTCCTAAGTGTGTGGGTTGGTGGGGGTTTTTTTAGGCAAATGAAGATAGCGAGATCCTCCAGACCCGACTCTAGGTGGATGACAATGAACTCTGCGGTGCACAGGATATACTGTCTGTGGGGCAGGAACCCTTGCCTTGTCCCAGATGTGTCCTCAGAGATCACCTTCCACAGCATTCATCTAGTTAAAAGTGAGGTCCACGTGCGTGGCCTTTGTACTCTTCCAGGGGTGCAGAAAAATCTGTAAGGCTGCTCAATGAAGCAGGCTGCTGAGTTTTTTTTCTAGTATGGAGTATTCTTTGAGAGCTGTACTAGCTCTCAGCCAGCTTAGGGTGCGTGTCAGGCATGTCCTTCATCTTGTGGGGGGTGGTATGGTCCAAGTGCTACTGAGTGCTAGTGGTCCTTATCTGGAGCACTGGTCTCTTCGGGGCCATTAGCACTTGAAGTGAGTGCACCTTCGGGGGTCCTCTAATTTTACATAGAGGTCCACCCAAGATCAAGAGATGTGCAGAGATGGCACAAGGCTGCCTTGGCCTCCCACTCAGGTCCTATCCTAAGAACCGCTCAGCTGGACCAAGGATGGAGTCCTGAAATTCTGCCACACAGCCAGAGGAGTACCGGGGCATCATCCAGTCAG